TTGGACCTCTGATCTCGCCTCAGCTCGAAATGAACCCCAAATATTCCTGCTGGGTGGCTTCTGCACTTTTATTTGCACTGCTCCTAAAAAAGCAAACAGTACAAATGCACTTCCTGCAAAAGAGAGCTGCTGCTGCTGCCGCCGCCGCCTCATGTGTTGTACCAACTGCACCAGGGCTGTGTCTGCCAAGGGACTTCAAACAAGTGCAGCTACTGAGCCTGATCCTGGAAAAGCTGTTCCCACATGTAAACAGAGCAACATGTACCACCTATATTTTATGCTATTTTCTAAAATTTTTATATATTGATTTGAGAGAGAGACAAAGAGAGAGAGATTGAGTCATTGCTCTACTCATCTATGCATCCATTGGTTGTCTCCTGTATGTTCCCTGACTGGAAATCAAACCCCCAACCCTAGCATATCATGACAATGCTCCAACCAATTAAGCTATCCAGCCAGGGCCAAACCTACATTTTAAAATTGTTTTCCATTACTCTCACTTTGCTTGACACATTCCTATTTCTATGACATATATGTATGACAATAAACATATAAACAACAGCAAAACCCCACCAAGGCCTATTTATATGCCCTGAGCTCCCAATCACCTTTTTAGTCCCCACACTTTAAGTATGATCGCCACATAGCTGAGATCTTTTAACATGGAGATCAAAACAACACACTCAAAGGCACAGAAAATGGCCCCTTAGAAGAAACAGCATACACAAGAAGGCTAAACATTAAATTATCTATGGATAATAACTTCAGAGGAATAAGAGAATCAGCAACCATGAATAGCATCAGGATACAAGTGAAAAAGAGAAGAGCCCTGGCCAATGTGGTTCAGATGGTTGGAGCACTGTCCTGTAAACCAAAACTTCACAGGTTCGATTCCCAGTCAGGGCATAAGCCTAGGTTTCGGGTTCAGTCTCCAGTAGGGGTGTTTCTCACATTGGTGTTTCTCTCTCTCTCTCTCTCTCTCTCTACCCTCTTATCCTCTCTCTAAAATCAAGGAGCACATCCTCAGGTGAGGATAAAAAAAATTTTTAAAGAGAATAAGTTCAGGAAACAAACAAAAAGTCAATAGCTTTGTTATGATGAGACACCACAGCCAGGGGCCGCCCCACCCCCAACCCACCCCAGCCTGTTCCTGGGTTCTTGCCTCACTCACAAGAGATGAATTCAAGTGAGAGAACACATACAGTGGAAATGAGATAGCTAATTTATTTATGAAATACATACAAACACGAAGTTGCAAGCACTGTGCTAGTCTGAATGCTCCATATAGAGGAAATACAGTTGTTTATAAGTTTGTTAGTAAGTTTGTTAGTAAGTTTGTTTTATACACTTGCGCCAAGTCTACAAGGGGCCACTCAGCTGATCTGTGTGCTGTTGGAGTTCAGTGGTTATATCTTTTGTCAGCTTCTAGGTACCCCTCCTTCTTCCCCTTCTCAACCTTGGGAATAATGTACAGATACAAAGGCTTTCTTTCTCAGTTAGTAAAGGCTCTTTGTCTTAGTGAAATTGTCACAGTGGCTCCCTTTCCCAGCAGAGTCTCAAGGACTCCCCTCCTCCTGCTCTATCCCTGCTTGTGTTCGGAACACCAGGCTCAGTCAATGTGCTGAGTCAATGGGTAAGACAGTCGCCCTCCTCCTCCCTGCCTTAGTTTACTACCTATCCTACCTAACACTTCCTGGATTGAAGAGAGGCCTCACTTTTGAGTGTTGTGCGTCAGTAAGTATTGTATCTCAGCGGTCACGTTGATTAGTTGGAAGTGAATAAAGAGAACGAGATTTATTAAAAACTAAAATAAAATAAAGTCAATAGAAAATAAATGTAAGAAATTTCCCAAAGAGTAAAGCAAAAGACCCACAGGAAAACTTAGGAGACAAACGTAAGAAAATTAGAGTGCTAGACGAGGAAATCCCACATCTGAATATGTTAGAGTTCTGTTAAGAATAGAGACTGAGAAAATGCAGGGGAGGGAACCATCAAAAGGAAAAAAAATTATTCCCAGAAATGAAGGATACAAGTTGAGCCCTGGCCAAGTGGTTCAGTTGGTTGTAGCACAGTCTTGGACACAAAAATGGTTTTGGATTTGATCCCCACAGTCAGGGCACATACCTAGGTTTCAGGTTCAATCTCTGGTCGGGTGTGCATGGGAGGCAACCCATTTGAGATTTTTCTCTCTCTCCGTCTCCCTTCCACTGCCCCCACCCCGCCCCCGCCTTCCTTTCTCTTTAAAATCAATAAACATTTCCTCAGGTGAGGATTAAAAAAAAGAAAAAAGAAAAAAGAATACCCAGCACAGTAGGTGAAGATCCCTAAAGGTTCCAAAAGGATACAAAGAGGTCAAATGGAAAGGAATTCAGCTCCCAAACTATTTACCTCCTAAGAAAGTGTGTGGAGGATAAGTCTTCCTCTGCGGGATACAGAAAACATGTTTTTGTTAAAGAAAAAGAAATGGGCCCATGGTGGAGTCACTTGTCCCCAGAATAGCAAACCAGGACTAGTTGCAGTTTCAGCTCCTTCCAGGAATGAGACCTTAAACCAATCGGTCTGGAATTTCCTGATCAACACCAGTGAAGGGATCTGCCTGCGAACACCCTGCAGCCCTTTTCCAAAAGGTAGGTGACCTTGCCTGAAACAATCCTTTTTCTTTTGCTAATAATTTCCTTGTCCCATCTTCCTGCCTATAGAAACCTTCCATTTTGTACAGCTCCTCAGAGAACCTCTCAATTTACTAAACAGAACACTGCTCAGTGCATGAATTTTCCAATAAAGCCAATTACATCTTCAAATTTACGCAGTTCAATTTTTGTTCTTTAACAGATTTGGTGGCAGCAGTGACATTTGAAGCGAATTTTTGAAGGCATTCGGGGACAACTAGATGGAGCTGTTCATCCCTCTAACAGAACTTCATTTTTTCTTGCCTGGCACCTATCATAGTTGTAAATGAACAATGTTATCTTTAGTGGACCAAAGCATATCCAAGGCTTTGTTCGTCAGGCTACTTGACGTGGAATCTCATTGTCCTGAGGGCTTCATGTTTATGGAGTTGGTCGTGCAAGGGCTTGGATGGAAGTCATAGAAGGCCCTTCCCCAGCCCCTTTGTTCCTCCTCTAAGGGGGGTCTAGCCCCCTCACTCACAGGAGAGAGGAGGAAAGTTCAGGGGAGAGTCCCAACGGCATGACCTGAATATGGTCAGGGGGTCGACACCACGTGACCAGCAATAGGCTCGGGAAGGAAAGCTAGGGCGAGCTCCCAGCCTAGTTCTGCCCTTGCTGGGTACCCGAGGCTTTCCGCCGTGGTGCCCTCGTTTACCTGACCTTTCTTTCCTGCTTCGCTCACGTCTTGCTACCTGCCTACTACACCAGTTCCATCCACAGTTGTTTGAATCCAAGTATGCAAAACCCTGGGATACAGAGGGCTAACTGTATATTTATGGGGGGAGGGGGGGAATCCAAGTAAAAGCGAGCCAAGCAGTTCAAACCCACATTGTTCAAAGGTCAACTGTCATTTGCATATTACTGGCCAGAAAGGTAAAATAGGGGGTTCTGCGTTTAATACCAGGGACTTGGCATGCCTCTCTGCTAAACAAATGAGTGAGAAAGCGGTGGTAAGGCCCTACATTTGCAACTGTTTTCTCAACTCACCCAAACTGCGAAGAGCCAAACGTATTGTATAACCCACGATGCCAATTAATTAGTTCACAGTGAGAAGTACAAATAGAAAGGACAATAGCAGCCCCATTTGCTATTGCGCAACATTTGCTAGCAGGCCTCTGACCTTGTTAAACACGACTGCCATTTTACTCTTCTGAGGTTGTCCCCCGGACGGGAAATGACTGGAAGCAAGAACAGAACCAGCCGCTCCCACAGCCACAGGCAGAGCAAGCGCATCGGAACAAACTGCAGCCTCCGGAGACAATCCCCACAGCCCAGGGGCCTCGCCACAGCGGCCCTCCACCCTTTTTTAACCCAATTATAATTCAATAAAAGCTCAAAGCCGCCACCCCTCAAGGCTGGTGTCCGTCTCCCCGCCATGCCCCTCTCCTTGCCTGGAGAATGAATAAAAACTTTATTCTCGACACTTTCTTTTCTTTGTGAGTTCTTTCGCAGTCCGTGTCACCGACCACCTTAACACAAACTACCCAGCCTTTGCCCTAAGGTGGGCTAGAAACCCGAAGCCAGTTGTTTTTCCTCTCCCCACTTTCTAGGCTCCATTCAGATCATCCTCCCGTTCACATGCCCTGTGTTCAGCTGATGAGACTGGAGTTTTCTCACGCACATTCTAGGCCTCGCAATAACAGGCTGAACTTGGGTGTTTTCCAAATACCTTCATTCTGAGGGCACCCTGACACTCACATTCTGCAGGAACCTCGCCAAAGCTCCTGTTTCCAGCTTCTAGGCAGACGCAGACCAGGGTGTAGTCCCGGTTAGGAGCTTGCCTCTCAGTGGGGGACTAGCGCCTCTACCACACCGCCTGCGGCAGCAAAAGAAACAGGGGCCTTTCAAAGTCCTTCTCTCCTAAATGAAGACCGCTCCCGGCCGGGTAAGACTTCCTCCGGCTGAGGGAAAGTCACTACATAGGGTGTTGGACACGGTGCCAAAGAAAAAAGTTGCTCCTACGAAATAAAGAAAGAGGAGGTGGGCGAGCTCCAAAGGTTGCTGCACCCATTAATTCTGCCCAGAGATGACTCTGAGGTCTCTCTGGGGTTGTGATTTTGGGCTGTCGTGGCCTTCACCTGAGCAGGGCCTCGCTCCAGTAATTAATAAATCGGACTTCGGGAGTGTCCTTCTCCACTGCTGCCCAGTGTCAAAAGTGAAACGCCAACCCCAGCCTCAGACGCCCGGCTCCTCGCGCTACAGCCTCCTCGAGGCCGGCATGCCGGTCCTTTTGCCCGTTTCCAAGATGGCGGCGCGCCACCGCGGCGGCGCGGCCCCGCCCCGCCCCGCCCCCGGGCTAGCCGGCCCGCCCCGCCTCCTCCCCGCAGGGCCGCGCGGCGCGCTCCCGCGCCCCTCCCGCGCGAGCTCCACCCAGGTCGCAAGCAGCGCGGTCGGTGGCGCCTATTTCCCGCCATTGTGCGAAGTGGAGGCTGGGGACCCGTACGCGTAGCCTTCCCGTCGCCTGCAGCTCCTGGGCCGCTGCCGACGCCGCCGCTGCCGTTCCCTGAGGCCGGGCGGCCGGCGCCACGAGTCTCGCCCTGCGTGGGAGGGCGCGGGCGAGGCGCGGCCGAGCCCCCAAGGAGGAGCCGTGGTGCGGGACGGCGGTCGGCGAGATGCCGTGTGGGGAGGATTGGCTCAGCCACCCGCTCGGTATCGTGCAGGGCTTCTTCGGTGAGTGGCGGCGCCGGGGGCGGGTCGGGCGGGCCGCCGAGTTTGCCGAGCCGGGGGCCGGGCCCCACGCGGGCGCTATCCTGGGGGCTCCCGCGGCCCTGACGGCCAGCTGGGCCTGCGCCGCCGGCGCGGAGACAGCCCCCTTCCCGGGTCGGGCCGCAGGTGCCTCCCACCTGCCGGATTCGCGATCCGCAGGCGGCCAAGGTTACGCCGCGAGGAGCGGGCGGCCGGCCGTGATTGACGGCTGCGCGCCCCTGCCTGGCTCCGCCGGGGCCGGAGCGCCGCGTGCCGCAGAACTCGGAGAGGTCCTTGAACCTGCGAGAGGGCCCGCAGCGAAGGGGCGAAGGCGAAGCACTTTGCCTAGGGCAGCCTGCAGGATATTTCAAAACTTCCGGTGCGTCGGGGGAGTGCTGGCTCGCTGGCCGCAGAAGTTGGCTCTTAACTACTATTGCACACATCCTCCGTTTTCGAGATAAGATTTCGTGTAACAGCCTAATTTTTCTGTTAGGGCGGCTTTAAAACCTGCCTGGGTACACACCTCCTGTGCCAGAGCTAGCCAGAAATGTTGAACTACTCACATGAATTCCTACCTAGAAAGCGCTTGCGATGCTGCAGACAAGCTTAGTAAATTTTAGTTGCAGTTGTTAACCGTTAAGGCTACTTCTCTGCTAAGGGTACGGGAAGGAAAATCTAGATTTGTTTACGGTTAACTGGGCATTTTGACACCTCCCCTGCAGTTAGGAGTGGAGGCAACCGCATTCAACGAGAAATCACTGTGTTTGATCCGTAGCACCCGACCTGTCTGCAAGTAACTTAAAACTGTAGAGTGGCCCTAGCTCGTTTAAAGCATTGTGGGATATTAGTGAGAATGCCCAGTAAGAGGCTAAGCAGTCCCCAGAAGCCAAAACTGATGGCGTAAAATGTATGTACTATTTCTTGGAGGGGAGGATTTAGGAACTCTGTCATTTTCCCTATAATTTGAACTAGTTTAGTTACCGGGTTTCCCAGGCTGAAACGAAAGGCAGCAAATTAGAAATTCTGGGTAGGCTTCCCGGTGGTAGCCAGTGAACACTGACAGCCTGATAAAGAAGTGGAAAACTTTGTGTGTGTGTTTAAATTTATTTTATTTTTATGTATTGATTTGAGAGAGACAGGCATTGATTTCTTGTTCCACTTACTGGTTGTTTCTGTGTGTCCTGACTGGGGACTGAACCCACAACCTTAGCTTATTGGAAAGATGCTCTAACCAACTGAGCTACCTGGCTGGGGCATGTGTGTGTATTTTTTTTTTTTTTTTTAACTAGCCAAAAGAAAAAGTCATCATATATTTATCAAAATTGCTTTGAGGAAGAGGCAAATATCCCTCCACTAAATTGATGCGCATAATGAATAGTGGAACCCGTAATTGATGTCCAAAATAATGGCCCTGTGATGTGGAATGAAGGTTAAGTTGCACAGTTGGTTTACCAGGGTGCAGATGCATAGATACTTCATAGGAAAAATCCTTCAAAATTATCAACTTTTGTGCTTAAAGGGTGAAGTTCCAGTTACTGATCTTGAGAAAATTTTATTTATGAGATATACCCCATACCCTAGTCGTGCTGAGTAAATGAGGAGACTTTATATTTGATAGAAATTTGAATGTATTTGTGTAGGGTTTTTTCTTCTAAGTGTATGATCCTAAGAGGCACATCTCATATGGTACAGAAAGGTTATAATTTGGATATAAAATGCTGGCTTTACAATGGGTTGAAATTTTGTGATTTACCCTGGCTGGTGTGGCTCAGTGGATCGAGGGCTGGCCTGTGAACTGAAAGGTCGCTGCGTGGATTTCTGGTCAGGGCACATGCCTGGGTTATGGGCCAGGTTCCGGCCTGGGGGCGTGTGTGAGGCAGCCTATTGATGCTTCTCTCCTACATAGATGTTTCTCTCCCTCTTTTTCTCCCTCCCTTCTCCTCTCTCTAAAAACAAATAAATAAAACCTTTCAAAAAGGAAAATTCTGTGAATTGTTGCGGGGACCTGGACCTTGGTGGTGGTGTTCACCCCCTCCCCAGGGATGTCTTGTTCCCATATAGGTGTGTCTTACAGAGAGGAAACTAGTCATGTCTTGTAGACATGATTTTTAATAGGAGCTGTTCTGAAATGTGGTATATATATTTTTTGTGGTTTTTCCTGTCACTGTGAATATATTGAATACCTTTTTAATAACAGCACTATGGGCATGTTCATGTGAGAAGTATGTTAGGTGTTAAACTTCTAGACTCTTTGGTTTAGTAGGAAATTGTTTTAAATCCGCTTTCCCCCCACCAAATAGAGAAGTAATGCAAGTCTGTTGTGGGTTGTGAGGCCTTTCTTGATTCCACCCCTACCTGGCTCTCAGGCCCCACCTTTACATTATCCCTCCTGTTGAACCTTCTTTCGTGTCTGTGACTTTGAGTCCTGCCTCCAGGCCTTCTGCATCGGCTGTTTCCTTTGCCTGGTCCCCCCTTCCCATCCCACTTCACATTCCTGGCTCAATTTTACTCTTCCTTTGGGAACCTAAGTTAAGTGCCCCTGCTCCATGTTACTCCAGGATCCTATGTGTCCCGGAAATTAGCATGTAAAACACATTATTATTGAAATTATTTGTTTCTTGGGTTCCTTTGCTGAAAATTCTTGGCCTGTATCTGCTTTATTCACAGGTGTATCCTCATTGCCTATAATACTCTTTATGCTTTGAAAGTGCTTGGTAACGTGTGTTGAACAGAGGCATTGGGAAAAACTGGTTAACCAGTCAGAAATGGTATAAATTGGGATGGTTTCTGTGACCGCAAATCTCACACTTAGGACAGTCCTGGGAGACCTTATTATTGATTCAGAATTTGTGATTGTACCTCAAATGAGTTATTTTCACTTAAAATCCTAATTCTTCTTGGCTCAGATAAGAAACTGGGATATTCTATGAGTGGCCACTCCTAACTATATGAGTCATAATTCATCTTTGTTTACCAACCTGTACTTTGAATTTCTATCTGCCGTATTACAGTTCATGTATTGGGTTGGCCAAAAATTTTTTTTAGTTTTTTCCCTAGGATGGCTGTAGTGTTACTTAGTTGTCTTGAACTTCATTTGAAACAATGTTGTTAGATTGTATTATGAGAGCTGTCATATCAGCATGGGTTTAAAAAAAAAAAACCCATCAAAATCAGTGATATTTTTGTGTAGCCATTTTAATATTGAAGACAGAAGATACACAACATTTTTTGTTTTTCATGCTTCATTATTTCAAGAAAGATAAAAGCACAACTGAAATGCTAAGTGAGATTTGTGCAGTGTATGGAGAAGGTGCTGTGACTGATTGAATGTGTCAAAAGTGGTTTGCAAAGTTTCTTGGTATATTGACATTTCAGCCAAATAACTTGTTGCTGTGGGGCTGTCCTATGCGTTGGAAGATGTTTAGCAGCACCCCTGGCCTCTGCCACCCACTGCAAGCCAATGGTGGGAGAGAGCCGACATACTCAAAATATCCAAATCAAGGGGGAGGTTAAGAATAGTATAGGAAGTGGAGAAACCAAGGAACTTACATGTACAACCCACAGACATGAACTAAGCGGGGGGGGGGGGGGTTGCTGGGGGAAAACATATCTATAAACCAATAACGTTACTGGTGAAAATGGAAAATGTGTCTTTTACAGAAAAAACTAAACAAGCATTTTGGCCAACCCAATATAAATTTTTTTTGTAAGCTTGCATAAAATGCCTTTAATGTTTAATGTATACAAAAGATTTTATATACAGGACATTGAGTCCAAGGCTTGAATTAAGATTCAGGAGCCCTTTAGTTCAGCAGATCTCTGTTGGGCCCTGTTATGGGCACAGTGCTAACGAGTCAGGTCCCCGTGGCTGCTCGTTTAGTGACCCACATTAAACGGCTTCTCTTAAGCAAAGGCAAGAATCTTAAATTTTTGGAAAAATAAAACTTCTTTTTCTGTTAATTTTATTTAAAATAAATTTTCTTAATGTGAATTGATTAAAAACTTGAATTAATAACCGCTGTTGATTTCAGGAGTGGAAATGCTTATCAACTCTGATTCTTTTACTATTTTCGGTTTAGATTGTTGGTTGGGTCAAGATCATTATTTTTGGTTACATTTAAGGTGCTTAGGTGTATCTAACAACTAGAGCTAGAGTTTCTCATGCAAAAAAGCAGTGGCGTGTGGAGAAGGGCAGGAAGGCGTGTTTCTTAGTATTTTAAAGAATTTAAAACGGTAAGAAAATAGACCAAAAGTCTGTATGCTTTTTTACCCTAAACCGACAGCTCTGGATGGAATACTATTTTCAGTAATAAAAAGAAATCCAGCGCTGCTGATAAACGCTGCACCATAGACAAACGCGGGAAATGTGCCAAGTGCAAGGAGCCAGATGCAAAAGATTTACACCCATGTTCTTTCTAAGAGTTTTATAGTTTTAGCTCTTACATTTAGGTCTTTGGTCCATTTGGAATTAATTTTTGTACCTGGTATGAGGTAGGGATCCAAACTCATTCTTTTGCACGTTGGTATCCTGTTGTCCCACGGCCATTTGTCTGTTGACTTATTTTTTACATTTACTAGTTTGTTAGAAGAGTATAATGGATATAAACAGCCAAATGAAGAAGCACATAGGGTGAGGTCTGGAAGGGTCCCTCCTTCAGGAGCTTTTGTCCCCTGAGGGAACTGAGGTGTGCTACCCTCCCAGCACGTGGATGCTTTACCAGCTCAGAAGTTCCCCAGAGCACCGTAAGTCTCTTATCCCACTGAATGGCATTGACAGGTTTGTCCCCTGTCCCCCTCTCTCCAAAAGAATAGATCTTTTAAAAATTATTATTTCTATACTCTCAATTCCATTCCACTGGTCTGTATGTTTAACCTTATGCCGGTACCATGTTGTCTTGATTACTGTAGCTTTGTATTAAATTTTGACATCAGGAAGTATGAGTCCACCTTTGTTCCTCTTCAAGATAGTTTTAGTTCTTCAGAGT